TATTAAAATGAATATTTATTTAAACTGGAAAATTATTTAAAGAAATTCAAATTTCTAAAATTTTAAATTTAACAATATTTACAAAATTTGCTTCATTTCAATGTTGGTTGGTATTATCTATGAAATGATATTAAAATGTTCTTTTTAACCCTTTTTTTTAAGCGAAAATTAGGCCATTCCCGTGTGCCGCAGAGTGTGCGATTTTGCATTCAAACCCACTCGGCTGCCACGAACGCAAGCTCGCCGACCGAGAAACAACCCTCGGAGGACGCGTACAATAACCGGCAGCAGCAGCCACGGCATGATAAAAATTGCATGTCAGGGGGCGATGAACGAGGGGTGGGTGCGGCGGGAGGCAGCTATCTTGATGAATAATTGTGCTGCCAGCTGTACTTACTCTGCGCGCGTGCAGATTCTATGCTGGTTTAAAATGTGTATTGCTCTGATTGCGGTCTGAATTATTTTTTAATTAAAACTGCGATTCTCGGTCGAAATGATGTAGGAAAAAAAGATTAAATCTTTAAAACACAATTTGCAATTAAATCAGCATCCACACAAATGGTCAATGAAGACCTTAAATGGAACGAGTTGAAATTTAATTAAACGTGTAAAAAGCCAAATTTTCAGGAATGCTATGTGTTAAGTTACGCAAATAGAAACAAAGCTACGCCCGATAAAAATACAGAGCGCGGCGATTTAATGCCGCCGGCGGTTTTTCAATTAAAACGGCAGCTCTCCGGCGCAAATGGCGAATTCTCACGGCACCCGAAATCGTAATTCTCTCTCCCTTTCTCCTCGGATCGGATTCTGGCCGATTCTCTGCTCTGTTTGCTACGCGCCTCAATTAATTTCATTTGATGCTGTGTTTGCTCTCTCCTCTCGCGCGCGGCTTTTTCGAATTGAATCACTTTTGGAAGCAACGTTGTGGAGTGCCTTGGAAATTAAACGAGAGAGCACGCTGTGCACACACAAGCACCGGCGAGTCTGAATGGCAAGTTGTGCGGGCGGCAATTAGGTGCAACCTTTGCGTGCACCAACCACTTCAGCCCATCTTTTCCAAATAGATCAAATTTTACCTTGCATAATTTATAACAAAAGCAAACATTGGTAAAGAATCTATTAAATTTTTGTTTCCAATTCAATCCTATTTACTTTTATTTTCTCGCAACAAGTCAACAAAATCACATTTCCTAACATGATTTTTTTTACTACGATATTTTACCGGGAAAAGGATTGCGAGGCGACCTTGGGCGACCCGGGCAGAACCGGCAAAAAAGAAACTGCTGCACTCGTTGCTGTTCTGCAAGTGATGTGCACATAGCGTGGACTTATCGATTTTGCTAGACGCGAGCTAGACGTGCGGTTGTGAAGGGCGCGCAACTCCCTCTTCTCGCAACCCCATCGCGCTCGCACCCCTGCTGCAAATGCCAGGCGGGACGCTGTTGTGTTGGCCAGAGATGTCTTTGCCCTGCAGGGGTCGCTACTAAAAGCAAAACGGGCCCCGAAAGCTGCTGCACCCATTGTATCGCATTGGCCAGTCGGTTTACCCTCGACATACTCCATCATTGGTGCGAGCCATTCAAATTTATATTTCATATGTAAAAAAGTTTAATTTACTTGTTAAATTCTAAAAATTGAATAGATTAACATCGTTATTTATTTGTGAAAATTTTTATACACATCAAATTGTTGAAAAAAAAATTTGTTTAAAAAAAATGGATTGTTGGTCAAAACGGCACCACCATTACAAAGAATTTTGTTAAAACTTCCGAGATCAAAAGACCCCATTGGCCGAAGTGAGCCTCGGTTGACTTGATTTTTGTTCTTATCACTTAGTTTTAGGTATTTTAAAATTAAATTATCTCAATGACTCTCTTCAAAGGAGTGCGAATATATTTATTTATTTTTAATTCATTCATGAAATTTTGGGCTCTGCTGAATCAAATCCAATACTGAATGGGCCATATTTTAAAAAAATTTTCAATGTTATCCTGGGAAAAAAATCTTTTTTAGAACCAAGCGTTGAGAAAAATTTTTTCCCTTGGTGGATTTGCATTTTTATGGCTGTCTAAAAAAATCAGCAAAAAAGAGTAGCAAGCACGTTTTCAGAAAGGGTCAATTTTTCAGCACCTTAATAAATTCTGCAGAAATCGCACTTGTCACCAGCGCATATTGTCGCAGGCCACTCCCATAAACTCTGGCCGAAAGAAATGAAAGTAGATTTTTTACGGCGGAAATCGGCCTGTGAGAAATTGGTCACATTTTACTGCCTATGAAAAACTGGCGAGCGCGAAAGAAACAATGGAGTGCCGCCGCCGTGAAAGTAGGAGAGCGTGTTGTCATCTCTCATGCCGACCATATTTCACGCACTCAACCCCCCAGTTGAGCTTTTTAGTCATTTTTCATTGCCAAATCTGGCAGCTATAATGTTTCACCTCACGTACGCGCACAGGCTCTTTATTACCGTCGCGGGTCAATGGCAATTTTTTCCATGATTTCTCTCTAAAAGATATTATCGTCTGTGCAGGAGAGAGAAATAAATGTCCCTGCCAATAAATTCCGATCAATATTTCCAATTTCTCAAAGGAATAAATATGTATTTGACTTCTGACTTTAGTGGGGTTTTGTGTTTAGAATTGCAAATATGCCTTTTTTCCATTGTCTACCTGTTCTGACAGTCAAAATCTCTTTTCACTCTTTGCACCGAAACGCGCGACAAGTGTTAGTTTGGGGGGATGAAAAAGAAAAATAAGGCTCGACGATGAATTAAATATCAAAGGTTGTTTGCTCGCTTTGCACGCACGAGCAGAGTGGCTGAGCCCCTCGGGGGCGATTCGCCCGAGGCCGAAAGTTTCGAGCGCCAGAGATGATGCATCTGACACGCTGCTGTTCGGCGGAACCGGTTTTCAAAACGGGATTTCAACCCTGACGAGCTGCTTCAGGACTTCTGTTTGCCACTGTTTATTGCCATCGCAGTGAGCGAGCGAGAGGGAGGAGAGAACTGCAATGCGGCGGAGCAGGCTCATCAAAAACACACTCTCGCTCACTTGCACGTTTGTGTTTTATGCCGTGACGTGTGGGGCTCTCTCTCGTTGTTCATCAGCAGGAGTGCGGCAGCTGTTTTTGATATTATACAAAATTCGGCCGATAACTTTTGCTAACGGATGAGAGTACATAATGCATTTAGCTTTTTATACAGAGGACCGTGCATCACACTATAAAATTTTTGTTTCAAAAATGGAAAATGAAGAGTGGAATTTTACGATATTTTATATAACCAGAAGCTTTTAACCCCAAAATACTTTTTTTTTAACGGGTGCTTTTAATATTCAGTTGAAAAGTGGATGGATTTTTAAATAAATTATTAATATTAATATCAACATTGTAAAATTTCTAATTTTAATTAAATTTTTAGCACTTTTATCTTTGAATTTCTGCACTAATTTCAATAGTACCAAAGCAACAAGTCAAACAATTAATTAACTCTTACCTTTGACTTTTTTAAATTTTTAAGCTCCGTCTGGACTTGACACGTGTCCCCACTTAAAGTGCCGTGTGCGCCATAAATTCAAAATCGCACAACAGTGTGTGGAAGCGCGCTCGTAAATTTATTTATTCGCCCCTGGCCGGTTTTGCGGCAACATTGTGTCACTCTGCTGCAGTGGTGGAGTTGCTGCGAAAAAAAGGGAGAGAGAGAGCTCGCTTGATGCGGCTATTATATCGCGGCGCGACACCTGGCCGCGAGAGAAAGAGCATATGATCGCGGAACTCGCCGACGTAACACCTGCCCCTCACAGACCATATGACCGGCACAGCTGAATATTTAAGCAGCAAAGGAGCGTGAAACAAAAAAACGGATGAGCCACGCTCCAACAGCAAAAACATGTGACTGGTCGGAGGAGGGGCTTCGTCTGCCGGTATTTGCTATTTAATTGAGTATTAGAGAGAAAGAGCTCCGAGTTTAGAAGTAATAATTTTGTGATTAATTTGATTTCCTTGATTGCCGATTCAGATGCAAATTGGAGTTTACAAAACACTAATTTGCCTTTCAAAATAAATCCCTTGACGATAGTGAAAATCAACATCAGTGGCCGACAAACGAGAGACTATTGTTTTTATTCCTCTTTCTCTCTCTCATGTTTTCAGCAACAAATGCAAAAGAGAGACTCTTGATCGATTCCACTCGCTGTGACATGGCAGTGTATAAATAAGCGAGGAGCGACAGAGAGACACATTCCTCGGTGGCGTTTGGAGGGAAAATAATGCAGAGCCCTCGCCAGCCTGTCATCTTGAATGCAAACAAGGAAGACTTCTGTTCACTACGAGAAAAAAACGACGACCACCCCCGCTCGCTCCACTGTTTGTTGGATGCAGTGGTGCTTTGTTTCTTTTGTTTGTCGGCAGCTCTGGGGTTTTTAAACGATAGACGTATGGCAACAAGAGAAGAAGAACCGCCGCGGCAAGACAATAGAGATTGATATTTGGGTCATGACTGACTGTGTGGCGGATTTTCGTGTGCCATCGGAACCCGATAGTCTGATGCTGGCTGGGGTTTTTGTCGCAGACAAAAGTGAAATTAGCTCGTTGCTCTGTGCCATAAATAAATTTTGCAGCATGCGAATCTTTTGTTCGCAATCAGATAAAAAAAATTGAGCAAAAATAATTAATTTTAAAATTAAAGGAAAAAACACATTAATAGCTCCGATTGAATTTTAGACCAGTAATTTAACTAATGCATCATTTATCCGTTGCATAAATAACAATTTAACAATTTTCTTTCATAAAAATATTTCTGGCACAGGACTTTGAGCTGCTTTGAGGACTTCTCCATTTATTTTTTTTTTTTTAATTATCCTCTTTTTGACTTTGGGTGTAAAAAAAATCGTGCAAGAAACCAATCTGCATGCCAAGTTTCTCCCGTGGCGTTATTGTAAAGTTTTCTTTTGGTTAGTGGAATAGTGGATAGGAAAATCGGGGTAGCAATTTCATGAGCAACTCACCTGTGACTTTGTCCCTGATGAGTTTGCAGCTCTCGACCTCGCCGATGGACGAGAAGAGCGACCTGATCTCCTCCTGCGTCATGGTCTGAGGCAGGTAGTTGACGATCAGGTTGGTCTTGGACTCCTCCTGGCTGCCGCCGGAGTTGGTCTGCGACGACGAGTTGTGCGAGTTCGCCGACGAGTTGGAAGAGGTGTTGTGGATGGTGCCATTCTGTTGGGGCACAGCGTCCAGACCGTTCTGCATCATTTTCGAGCCGGTGATGATACTGTTGCTGTGCCAAACCTGTGAGCAAAAATGAACAAAACGTTAAATTTTAAAAAAGAAATAAAATGAGTTAAACTGAGATTAATTTTTTTTATTGTTCGTTGAGTTTTTAATTCTAAAATAATTTCTATCCATTTTATTTCAACTCTCCAATTAAAAATAATCTCTTAAGTGTTTGGTGGTATAAAATGCCACTCTTTATTCTGGTTATGCGCAATTTTATTGATGCTGAAACTGATATTTGTGAGGCAATTTCAAAGCAGCTTATATTTAACCATTTTTCACAATTTAATCTCCTGAATTTGCTCCACTATGAATCAGAGATAATCTCGGTGTTTTTGTTGCACGCCAGAGAGTTAATGAGACAAGTAACGGTTCACATCAACCGTGCAAACAAAATTCCATTTCAACCCGCCTTCGCTCTTTGCTTGCTGACGTTTTATGGGTAATTAAGAGCAAATTTAGCTGCGTGTTTTACGTTCTTGCGTACAACCGGCGTTGCATCACTATAGTATATCTAGAAACAATTGGAAACGGGCCCTTTACTCTCGAGCAAAAAGCACTAACGGTTTGAGAGGCATGGGCGGAGAAAACCACTCAAGAGAGGGTTCATCGTTCGCAAATGGGGAACGGACTGCATGAAAATGCAATTTGGAGACGGAGAGGGGAACCGTCGTTGGGTTCTGTCTGCCCAAATTGAATATTTAATTAATCCCCTTTAAACCAGAAAGACTTTTACGAGCTTTTAGAAATTGTCTCAAAAATGCTTTTAATTTTTGGCATTTGTTTAAATGTGAAGGAGAAAACACTATTTAGATTAGTTTTTATATAAAGGTTCATCAAAGGCAAATTTTTAATTAAAAACAACAGAATTCAAAAGAGGAAAAAAAATTCTGCGAGTGGCTTCTTTTGAAACCGCGGTATAGCGACCTTGCGATGATAGAGAGATGTCCTCGTCGTCGGACTCTCGTCAGCTCATCAGCCGCACCATGCTTTGATCCTGCCGACCGTAAAGTCAAAATCTTCAAAGGAGTGAAACGCACACGACACACACGCGCGCGGGTGCCTTTTATTTGTGAGAGAGCGCCGCCCGTTTTATTTTCTATATGTGAATATTCTGATTATTCATTCATTATTATTTTGAATGCACGCCAAGCGGCGGGTCTTTTTAATGAAGCGGTTAGAACGAGAACAGCACAGCTCCCTCTTGTCTCCACTCCTCACTAATTTCTCCCTCCAGCTGCGCTTAATAACGATTTAATTTTATATCCGTCGTATTCCGATTCGCGAATATATAGTACAGCTGTGACTCACGCTCGTTTTTTTCCTCATCTGACGTGGCCATTTACTTTCTCGCAACCCCTCGAGATAGATTTCGGAATGGGCACACTTGCGAAATCTCGTCGCCGCCGTTTACAGAAGTTGAAATTGAAAGTGACTTACAGAGTGGAGTGCGAAAGATTCAAAAATAAAAAGTAAAAAATTTGATGGTGTTGCGGCCAACTTTCAATCCCGGACTACGATTGTATTTAATTCTGTATTTATAGAATAGCCCTCAAGAATTCACCTCTTCTTTAAAATGAAAGTAATTAATTTTTAAAATTTAATATTATTTAAATTAATTAAATAATAAAATTTTATAAGTTGAAATATTGTTTTATTTTCTATTATAAATATTAAAATAATGTACTGACTATCCTGACTATTATTAATTAATAAGATAAATTTAGCAAAGAAGCGATTCATTTAATGCCGATACTAAAAATTGTATTGTTTAATAATTTTCTTTAATAATAAATAACGGTTAATTTTGTACTGTTTACTGAGTTTAATATAATGAATTAATTGAAAAATTCAGATGATTTGAAATTCAATCACAAAAAATTCCTGTATTTTCCTGTAATTCTCATCCCAATTTGCATTTTGTTTTTAAATTGGCAGCGCATTAAATATTCCGGTGGTCGTTGAAATTCATATTGGTTTTTTTACGCGCTTGCTCTTTTCAAACGGGACAGATTTATTTTTTACCGATACAACTTTTTTTGCCAGTCCCGGGGCGAAATCCATTTTTAAAGTTCGAGCGGTGCGCGCACGCCATCGATATTTCCGTGTCCTCTCTCTTTAATGTTTCAGCAGGCGGCGGCAATTTTCCAAAAAAAGCTCGTAAAAAATTGGGTTCGTACTGGCGCGAGGCGCGACTCTTCTCTCGCTCTCTCGGGGTCGTAACGTTTTACGAGGCAGCTGCATCATCGGCGGCGGGACGGCATCACCTCCTCAATAACAATATCAAGCCAAATGAAATGCACCCCTCAGCATAGAGAACGAAGGGGTGGGCCGGCAGCCACCCCTGTGCGCGTCTCCCGTTTTGTATAAATTTGGCAATATGCGCTAGGTGTGCAGTTTTCATTGCTAATCAGCTCTCGGGGAAAAATGTTCGAGGGGTAGGTCTGTTGATTCAGCAGAGTGCAGTAATTCGCTGTATCGTGGCACACACAGCGAAATGAGTTTCTGCAGCGCGGGGATTGTGTTCAGTGTGGCCGGGCTGCGCGCATAGTCAGCATGTTTCTGCCTCCAAATTGGAATGGAAAAAGATGAGTTCTCCAGAGAGATGGCAAAACAAGCGCCTGATTGGCCAACTGGAAATTGCCGAGCCAAAATTAAGACCCAAGGACTTTTCGACTCAACGTCATGTTCAGGGGAAATCATCTGTGAAAATGTATGAAAAGTTGGAAATTCAATTTGCTGGAATGAGAGAGAGATTATTATTTGCCTCCGATATCTTTTTTTGACATAGCACTTTTGAACGAGAGACGACTTCTTTTCCAATATCTTGTGCACCCTAAGAAGGCCGTTGATATGCTTAAAATTGGCAAAGTTTTGAGCAGGTTGATCGGTTCTCTCGGAAAGAGATTTTGCAGCCGTATGGCAGCAGAAGGGTGATCGAGATTAAAAGCGGCTGCTCTCATGTGCAAAAAGCAAACTTTCCAAATGCCTTTGGGCTCTAACGTTTTGAGTGTAAAAAGTTACGAGGATATCGTGGTCATATAAAAATAATGTGATTGAGCTTGAAAAAGTTTGTAGAACAATGAGAATATTATTTTTGGTCAAATATTGATGGATTGAATGAATTCTTGATTTATATGAAAAATAAAAACCAATGTAATTGAATTTTTAATATTCCTCTTAAAAATTTAATTGATTCAATTTGTATGTCTTATCATTCTCATTAGCTAAAACTCAATCCAATGGTATATTTATGATAATTTAATCATTTAAATAATTTTTCCAAAATTAGCCAGGCCAGATTTAATTCGATAAATGCATTATAAATTGCCTTTTGATATAATTCCATTGATCACAGCCAGGATTAAATGGAACACGATTTAGAACGATTCAAAGATTGATTGGTAATTAACCGTTGCAACGTGACCTTTCTTCGGCGAGTGGAGGCGAAAGGAAATAATAATTGGTTCAAGTGATTCCATTAGGCATTAAGTGAGTGGCTCAGCGCCTCGCAAGTGTCAAAATAGAGATAAGAGCGAGCGAGAGAGAAAGAGAGGCAGATGCGAAAGGCGCCCGCCTGCGCGCCCGTGGATAAAAAGAGACGAGCTTGGCTTGGGGAAGTAGCAAAGAGTTTGTTTGTTGAATCGGCGGCGGCGGCGGTCGCGGAGGCACGGGGGCGAGATGCGTGCCAAGTATCAAACCGTTTCTCCAGAAAAGAAAAGTTTGCGTAGGGATACATAGGCGAGCAAAAAGTGCAAAAAGCCGAAGCGGCAAGGGAGGAAGAAGAAAGAAGACGGAGGGGACAATTTTTCGGCTCACCCCAAAAACGTACGGGAAAAATTCAATAAGTAAATACAATTTTTTTCCATCTTATTAGATATGAAATTTGTAAATCAGAAAGGGGAGAGAAATCATAAGCTAGTGAAAAAATATGTTTCAACATATTAAAAAATCTTTGAATTTCGTAAATGAAAAATCCACTTTTTAATATTTATAGATTAAGGACTCCTTACTGACACACTCAAACAAAGTCTTCAAGACAATAGGAGCCATTTTTGCAATTAATGGCAAAAATTGTAAATTTAACCACCATTATTGTAAAGACTTGAATTAATTTGTCAATAATAAGTCATTATTTGTTTAATTCCTCTTAAAATATTGATTGAAATTATTTTTATAAGTCTAATAAGCTAAAAATCAGCCTGAAGGATTTAAAAACAATTTAATTATTTTATCTAAAACTTTTCTAATATATTTTTACTCGACATCTGCACAAATAAAATATTTCAATAAGTCAGCTATATATGATAAAATTATAGGAGAGCATTGAGGGATTTTAGAGTTAAAATAGTGCAAAATTTCTAGGTGCTCATATCAAATTTATCACGAACATAACGAATTAAATTTTATATTTGAAGTAGAAACGCTGAACTTCTTTCTAGATAAAATGAAGAGCTAAGCTAATTTCAAAAGAGATCCGCTTGAGCTAAATGAGACGAGACGTAATCCAATGAAGATAAAATTGCATAAGGTTAAGTCGCACCGCAGAACCCAGCGCGCTTGACAATTTTCTGCGGATTTTCCTTCATTAATTCATTGGATTTAATTTTCACCTTAACATATAATATGTACAAAAAATAACAAATCTGAAGATTTTGAAAATTAATAGGAAAAATTAAACTAAAACTTGAGCGAAAAAATGCAATAATTACAAATATTTGTTAAAAAACAAAAACCCAATCAAAATTTTCTTTACATTTAAGTAGTTTTTTAATTACTAAATTAAAAGCTTGATAATTCTATAACGGAAACGAAATGTCTGCATGTTAATGCAAATTTGCAAGCAATTTTTAGGAAATTGTAAATTCAATTTCTTTTCAAACGACAATAAAAATTTAAAATAAAGTTCAACTCCAACTTTGAAAGTTGAAATTGTAAGTCCTACCGGAAAGTCGTGAAGCGTCGTTGTGGCGTGTGTCGGCGGTGGTGCGAACGCGTTGGATTCTTTTCGGATC